TTTCCAACCTAGTGATTCTGTGATAGTCTATTTATATCTTTTAGGGTTACTCTGGCTGCTGTAAAAATCTGCATTTTCCAAATTTTGAAAGTTTGGTTGCAAACATTCTTTTCAATATAATATTTTTTCAATATGTGTTACCACATAGCTGGAAAGGTTTGATATTCTGCGATATTTGCACAGTATGCTCCTTCCCAGACAATTCCACTAATTTGAGATCACGCTGTTGAGGCCAGTGCATGTAACTGAAGCAGAGCAGTATGCTCCTTCCCAGACAGTTCCACTAATTTGAGATCACACTGTTGAGGCCAGTGCATGTAACTGAAGCAGAAGGTTTTGCCCAGCAGCAGTAAAGGATTTAAAGTGACCATAATCCCAGTCATGAGGTGTGTTTTTAAAATAATGAGCAACCATAACTAGTTTAACCCTTACTTTCTTATTTTGGAATTTATTTGTTGTTGTTTTTGTTATCAACAATGAGGAAGATGCTTTCTATAAAAATCTATTTATCTTATTTATTAAGATGGAGAGGGCAAAATGAGTCAGTGTGAAAGACAATTTTATGTCTCTAAGTTTTACCCCAGAATTGCTTTTTGAACAAGCTTTACTTTGAGTTTCTAGCTGCAGGTGTAAACTAGCCAGCAGTTCCCACAGCCCACAATGTAGCTGTGTGAAGGAAGCCAAATTCCAGTCCAGGTCCGCAGTCTTTCCATGTGAGTCTGCCTTCTTTCGGGGATGCTCTGGAGCCACCACAGTGTGTGTGTTATGAATTGAAGTGAAGGTTTGCCCTAACTGACCATGGAAGCAGCAAAATGTTCATTCATGTATTTGTTTGCTAGCATGCTTTAGTACTGAGGCACTTAATTGAAAAACAATAGCAGGTAAACCAAATGTTGGGCAGAAAGAGTGGAAAGGTATTGTTACCTATTTTAACAGAAAATTGTACAGTAGGGAGAAGTACAGGAGGAAAGAAATGAAAACACAATTTTGTCAATTGCTTTCTGATATTTTTCCCTAAGCTCAGCTCTGAGAGTGATTTGATTACATGAGAACTTGTGGCTTCTTGAAAGTCTACGTGTCTGCAGGCTGAAAATCCAGGAAGAAAATAGAAAGAATGGCAAATGTTGAATTTATGTGGGATTATTTTTAGGCTTGTTCTCATTACATTTTAGGGAACCTGCCCTATTATTTTTTAAATCCTTGAATATACTGGGCATTTTGAAGATGTTATGAAAGTGTATGTGCTTAAAAGCAATGCATTTTGAAATAGAAAATGTTGGGTTTAAGTCAGAAGATGCATTACTGGCAAAGTGTATCGTATATTCCTAGTAAGCTACACAGTGCAGGGAGTCCATTTCGGCAAGGACTGTATATCTGGGATGTAAGGAAAGGCATGCTTAAAATATTGTTGTGGGGAGGAGAGGCCAAAGGTATTCCTTCATTTCTTAAAGAACGCTGAGGGCCCCTCTTAGGGAGGCAGATTCATGGGTTAATTAGGAGTTTGGGTTTTAGGCCATTCATTACAGGTTTCAAAATGACTTTCGTCCTTTCTCCACCTGTCAAGTACCCAGCTGCTTGGTTAGAACCTTAGCATGGTAAGTGCATGCATACTTCCCTGTTACAGCCTGTGAAGTTGTGCTATACATTGTGGGCAGGACGATTCCCTGATCAAGTTCTTTAGCCGGTGGCAGCAGCCCCTTTGCTTGCTGGACTCGGAGGGCTGACCTAACCGAAACCACGAGCTGGGGAAAGGCTTGTTCACTTGCTGAAAAGGGTCTGCTAGGATGCTGTGTTTCCCACCCCACTTCTCTGATCGATTCTCTCTCGCAGGCAGGACTGGCATCTCCTGAAAATCCCGAGCAGTTGATCATTGCCCTGGAACCCGAGGCTGCCTCTATCTACTGCCGAAAGCTGCGCCTGCACCAGATGATAGACCTGAGTAGCAGGGCGCCTGTCAATGGTTATAGCCCAAGTGACACTATTGGAACTGGATTTACACAGGGTACTTCTTCTATTAACTCACTTCTTTAGATTCTTATGTCTAGGTTTACTTTCTCCATGAGGGCTGTTTTCTTACCATTTCTCATTGTCTTTGCTCTCTTGAAATGTTTCAGGCTAACATCAGTTTGCCTTTATGAACTGTTTCACGCTTTACTGCAATTAGACTAGTTTAGGCGTTGATCCAGCAGACATGTTTGCATGCAGCTGAATTTTATCGTGCAGGTAGCTTCACTGCCTTGCCTTAATTGGCATGTTGTGGGAGTCTCTTAGTATTTTCACAACAGTACTTTTCTGACTTAATTAAAATCAATACTTCATGTGGGATAATTTTTTTTAATTTAATTTGTTGGGAACAATTATGTATTCGACTAGCTGCATTACTGAAGCAGTTTTAAATAATTGCATCTCTAATGAGACTATTAGTCTGAGGTGTTCCAGACTAATAAATAAAAGTGGCAGACACTTTTTTGATGGCATCTTTAGGAAATAAAATTAATTACTTTCAACACTCAGGGGAACACATGGTATTGGAATATAGCAATAAATTTATCTGCTTGTAGAAGAATGACTAGATACGGCACTTCTGATTTATCGACCTGGGGTCTGTTGCTCATATCAATGTTTGAAGATTGACTTACAATGAGGGACAGATTGGACCACAGTGTAGGTCATTTGACAAATGATCCTTCATCACCAAAGATTTTTCAGCTTGGTATCCTACCTGAGATTGGAGGAAATTAGGAGAGGAAAAAAAAAAAGGAGAACAAAGCAGCAGGTGAGATGCGATTGCTGTATAATGCACAGATTTCCCGTCTGTGTGAATTGTAACAGTTGCCCATATAGGTGGTAGTGTGCCAATCGATCCCAGAAGGAATTTTTTCAGAAGAATTTGTATTTTATCACATTTACTAGGTCACTTCCAGGCAAATGGAAGATTAAGTTAGTAAAGCTATTCCTGTACTTGCTGGAGGGTATTTTTTTTTAGTTAGGCAGAGTCACCACATCATTCTCTCAAACCCATGCCGCTCCTCGCCAGCACTTGTCAGTTGTGTTCAGTGTTACGGAGGCCCATGCAGAGCGCAGGACACAAGCTGTTTTCAGGACACAGTCCCTTCAGGGGCCCCTCAGCTTCTGGCCCCTTGTTCATGTCCTGAACCATTCCAGTTCCATGCGATGTTATATGAACTCACTTTCAGGCTACACAGTGGTTTGCCTCTGGGGAAATAATAAAATAAAAGAGTTTCTCTGGTTAAGGTTTTGAAGCTGAGCAGAATCTGGCAGCTCATGGATTTCTGCTAATGGGTTTTCTCTTGGATGGGAGGGTCCCATTCTCCTTCTCGACTTTGTATGGTGAAAGGTATTGGGGATGAGAAAAGTTTCATGTCAAAACTAATGAAAACAAAGTTTGGAGTGAATTAATTTGAAGTTAGAATTAAAATTTCATAAAGTCATGGCAGGCACCCAAGACAAGCTGAGAACAGATTAAGGAGGAAAACCCTTTAAATATAAACAGAGAGAAGCACTCCAAGGACCATATTATTGCTGTAGAGTCAAAACAAAAATTTTACTGTTCATAGTAGCCAGGATAACCTTACTTCAGTCGTAGTTAAAGACTGGCTTTTGTGTTCACTTCCAGCCCACAGAAGTGAATGAAAAGACTCCCATTGACTTCTGTGGGTTCTGTGTCAGGCCCTTGTTTGGACCTAGTGCTTGTTCTGTCATTGTATGCTTCATCGTTTAAGCTCTCGCTCTGTGCTGCTAAGTCGGCGCAGCAAGGCTAATGCAGCTTGTCTGCATCACAGGGTCTTTATGGGGAGGGTGCGGGTGCAAGTGGAGCCGCTGGTCTTTTTCTGATGATAGGCACTACAGAAACGAGAAGCAAAATGCATTCTGTGATATGCATGCTGATATTTTCAGAAAGAATGGTATTTTCATGCATGACAGGATGCCTCTCTACTTCTCTAGTGTTTTATAGAAGTGCCTTTAAAGGTGAGTGGAGGTTACACAGGGAATGATTTTTTTGATCATTCAGTTGTAGAGGTTGATTCAGAAGCATAATAGGAAAGGCTGTCACTACTCTGCTTTCTCTTCACAGACTGTTCTGCTTCTTTTAAATGTCTAAGTAGCAATTAAGTCTTGTAAGTTAACTGATTGTTATAATAGGATTGCTAGATTATGCTTAATTTTTAATGGATATATATTTAAAATATTATGAGGGTCAGACTTCGTGATCACTGTAGCCTTAAGAAGTTCTAAATCTGAGAAACAGTGCTTTTGGCTGCTTATTTGGAGACAGACCAACATCCTGAAAGGCTTGGGAGGTGTCTTTGCCTGAGAACCCAAAATCTGCAGTGGCTTTTGGACCTGTGGGGATTGTCTCCAGGCCCCAGGCAGTGCAGATGGGTCTGGCAGCAGGCTGGGGATGCCGCCTGCCGGCAGAGGCTGCACCGAGCACGGCTGGCTGCGAGCCCCCCCGGTTCCAGGCAGTGCTTTATAAAACCAGAACATGAAAAAAAAAAATTAATCAGGCCTATTTATAGCTTTTGTATTAGGTTATTGGTTTTAATCCAGTTGATATCAAGGAAGATCAGTGCAGCTGAAAAACATTTTTCCTTTTTTTCCTTCTTTCTAGGATCAACGTTATAATACTGCTGATTCTAATGCAATAATTTCTGTTCGTTTGCTTTGTTAAGAAGTGATACCTATAGATCTGTCAGCCTGCTTGCACTTGTATCCTGCAGCTTATGATAACAACTTCTTCATGCTTTCTTATACTCAGTAATTTTTTCTCTGTCAATGACTAGCTAAGGAACACGTCCGTCGTCATCGACAGAGTCGTACTTTTTTGGTGGAAAATGTCATAGGAGAGATCTGGTCCGAACTGGAGGAAGGTAGTGTCCTTTCTTGAATAAACTTTGCTCTCATTGGTTTCATATTGCGGGCAAATAATTGTGTTTCCCACAAATGTGCTGTGCATGGCTTTGTTCTCACAGTGATTATAAATAGGAAAAGAAAAAAAATACAAGTTCATGTGCTGCTCTTAGTTACTAAGGCTGAACTGCAATTCTGTATGCTCTAGCAAAATATGGTTTATTAAGGAAATGGTAGAAAGGAATCTAGGTTTTAAAATGCAACCAGAATCTTTTCCTCAGAATAGGCTTTGTAAACATGCCATAGCATTAATTTGGTAGTCCACTAGAATGTACACCAGCAGCATGAGCAATTCCACTAATCTACTTTTCATCTGTGCAAAATCAATAGCTTTTGAAATCTGAGTTCCATATTGTTATCAATCATTGCATTATAATTACTAATAAAGATCAAGTCTTCAGCACAGACATTCATGCCTTTCTGTAAGTCATTATCTCTCATGGTGATAATGCCCCTGAGAAGCTGTCATTGCAATATACTGTTGTGATAACGCTAATGTAAATACCATTTGCCTATTCCTTTGGCAAACTAGGTGACCGTTACATCGTTGTTGACAGTGGAGGAGGAACAGTTGATATGACTGTCCATCAGATCAGGCTCCCTGAAGGACATCTTAAGGAGCTGTATAAGGCAACAGGTGATGTCACTTCCACTCCTTGCTTTATTTATGTAATATTTTGACTTGTCAGTGAAGGAAATGTCTGCCTTTATTATTCACTACATTTCATTAACAGTTCTTCCTGAAATAAGACCAGCATTCAAAATTAGTATAACCTAGCTGCTGGTGAGCAGATGTGGGTAAATCACTTAATGCTTCTGATGCTTTTGGATGGTAAACCTCACATTGGGAGAGTAAGAAACTGCCATCTCCTGTGTTATTCACTCCCGTTCAGACCATGACCTCCTGCCATGGTCCTGATCTGACTTCTGCTAGTACAGTCCTCATCTTCCTGTCCTTTGAGAGGTCACCTGTGTATTGCTGCTCTGTCCAGGTATTCAGAGATGTACTGTGGAGATGTGAATAGCTGGGTGTCACAACAAGATCCTTGTAAAGTGACTATTGGCAGAACAGACGTTTCCCTAGATTTAAGGGAACTCTTATGTATTCCAGTAGTTTCACAGGGCATGTAACAAGGAGGGTCTACTATCATCTGGATAAAATGCACAATGATCAGTCCCCAACAAAGATACAAAGTGCAATTCCTTGAATGTTGTTCCCTTCCTGAACTCCAGATCCCCTTTGTCCTGTTAAGCTCATGAGTTATCCTGTTATCTGTTGCTGTGTCTCTATACCAAGTTAATCTTTATCTGTATGGTTCATCACTGAGCCTTCTCAGTCTTAGTGTCTGTAAGACTACCTCAGGAAACAACCTAGTAAGAGCATAGGATAGCATACATCAAGTCTGTCTACTCCCAAATATGAGTCCAACCTACACCTTCTCATGTGTGGATAAGGAGGCAGTTTCCTCTGCTTCTAATAAAAATGTTTCTGTTTTTTAGTGTTACAGTGGCTGATGGTATAGGAGTAAAAGTGAGGCAAAGGTAGATTATGTTCTGTACTAGAATAACTGTTATATTTAGGAAAGATATCTCATTCTGTAGACCTTCTCCCATGACAGTCCTAGTAGTGTCGATCTGATGTGTATTTGCTCGACTTGAAACCTAACAAGCTGTTCAGAATACTAAAGCTGTGTTTTGTTTGTAATACAGGTGGGCCATATGGTTCTCTAGGTGTGGACTATGAATTTGAAAAGCTCCTGTGTAAAATATTTGGAGAAGATTTTATTGATCAATTTAAAATCAAGCGTCCTGCTGCCTGGGTAGATCTCATGATAGCATTTGAGTCTCGTAAACGGGCAGCAGCTCCAGACAGGACCAATCCACTAAACATCACTCTGCCTTTCTCCTTTATTGACTATTACAAGAAGTTTCGGGGTCACAGTGTAGAACATGCCTTGAGGAAAAGCAAGTGAGTAGATGACTGAACCCAAATGGATGCAGAATTAACTACTGGTAGCAAAGACAAATAATTAAAATATCCTAATTACATGTAGACTGAAAGATAATAATGTAAAAATGTAATATAAGGATGAGAAAATGAGATTGCCTGAAGTGGAGTTTCCAGAATGAAAAGTTCTGATCAATCTCTTGCAAAAGCTTTTCTATACAAGACTTGCACTCTCCTAGCATTGCTTTCTATAACTTTTGTTAGGCCACCACTGCATCACCTCCCTGAATTTGACCATATGAGTCCCTTACGTGTTAATTAGGAACATCAGATCAGGTACAGAGTTTGATGTCTAAAGGTTATTTACCTAGAACCTTAATTTTTAGAGGCCTGGGCCCTGGAACAAATCCAAGATCTTGAGTGAGATGTGTAAATACATTCATGGCTTGAGGAAAGTTTTTGATGATACCAGGTCACTGGTGAAAACATATACTACTGCAGAGAGATCTGCAAGGAGAAAGCATTCTTCTTTTGAAGTGATGGCAGGCTTTCTTTTCTTCTAAACTTTTACCAGTTAGATAATATGCTCGGTAAGTGGGGAGACATAATCCCCTCCAGAGATTTTAATTCATGATTTTCAATATCAAGAAGGCACCCTAAATGACAAGATCACAGGCTGCTCTAGAAAAGGAAATGAGGAGAAAGTAGAAGTGGGCATTTTGCATCTTTTGAAATTATCTAGGAGACCTAGAAGTTAATGGCATAAAAGAGAATGAACAAGAGAGCCTGCAAATCTGGGCCAGAACGCTTGGGACCTGAGAGCAGAAGACGTGATATTTAGTACCTGCATCTTAGCTTCTTTCTGCATATTTTTAATCCAGTGAATGTTGACTGTAGTGTGCAGGCTGAAACTCCTGCATCTCTTCCGAAAGTTATTGGTAAATGTACTTTAAGCCTAAATGACTTGGAATCAAGCTCAAGAGATACTTCCTAAATGACACTGAGGTTCTGAAATCATTAAAAATTTATAGAAATATTCCCCCTCACAAGACCATCTCCTTCTTATAATAGTCTTAATGGTGGCTCTCAGAGGGAATGCTAAATGTTCCCTTCAAATAAACTGAAATTAATTGGATAACGGGATAGAAAGAGTATAAAGGTGACATATAATGTGCATGAATGAGGAGGAGATTACTGAGCTGTATATGGATTTGTATCCATGATGGAACAACATAATGCCTGTATTCACTTAACAAATGTTATGCCTCATTAAAAATGCTGTGCTCCCTTCTGCTTCCTGAGGCTTCCCATACTTGCTTGTTTTCCTTGTGTGTTTCCCGTGTCTTTGGCCTGCTACTGCTATAATCTAAATGTTGCCCTTCTGGGGATGAATCAGTGCTGTTTCAGACGAGCAAGCACTGGATTGACTGCCAGCTGTTTCAGGGAGCAGCTGAGCATTGGTAATTCTACAGAGGGCAATCAGGCAAAGAAAACAACAATTAGACAAGCAAAAATAACAATTCTCCCTTGAAATTTTACATTGCTGCAGTTGGTATGGGGCTAGGGTGAGGTGAGGCACTTTCTTCCAAGCAAAATGCATGCAGATTCCATAAACTCATTCATTTACTTATTTGGTGTGTCTTATGAGTGCTTGGCTGTTTCTTACAGCTCAGCTGTAATCTTTTAATGTACTTTCTAACTGTTCTTTTCCAGTGTGGACTTTGTGAAGTGGTCCTCCCAGGGAATGCTGAGAATGAGCCCAGATGCAATGAATGCTCTTTTCAAACCTACAATCGACCAGATTGTTCAGCACCTTAGTATGTATCTGTGTGTAATTCCACTTTCTGTCTGAGCTGAAACTGAAGCTTTGCTTACCTGTTTCAAACCAATATGCACCAAATGCAGGCAAGGAATTTAGTTGTGAAACTTGCAGTTCTCTACGAGCTAGTTAGGAAAATAATAAAAGTAAGGAACATCACCTTAACATGTATTCCTACCTAGTTCTAGTACTAGTTATTGAGTCTGATTCAGTCCTGTTACTGCCTAAGCTTCAATTATTCTCTACTTCCAGGGCTGCAAGCATTCAGAAGGCTGAAATGTACTGACTAACCCAGATCCTGCTTTTCTTTTTCCTGTTTCAGGAAACTACTAAATAATGTTAGACATGTAACTAGTTTCTGATTATTCTTGCTATTAAGACATCTAGTTAATTTGTCCTCAGCGGAAGGTCACATTTGTTCATGACCATCCAAATTACTGACGTCTCTAAACCACAAATAATAAATGATGCATCATCGTAGAAGTACTTCCAGCCATGGCTTAAGCAGCACTGAATTTATTTATCCAGTAATGGAAAGTGACATAGGCTTATTGGGAAATTTATTATTTAAAGTCTTCCTGGTGGAAGATTGGATTTGTATCAAGTAGAGTATAATATATGTACTGAGCAAAGTATTGCTGTTCTACACCTTACAAAGCACTGATTCAATCGTATTTGGAATGGAATATCCAGCTTTGCTCACTATATGTGAGGAATTATTAGGTAAATTTCAGAGGCTGCAACTTAGTAAGACAGCTAGTACAGAACAGTTTATATGTGAGCGGAGGGGAGAGACCTAGAATTACAATAGTTGTGACAGATAACTTGGTCATGCTGCCTTAGTTATTTGAACTAAGGGTGAGCTTACGACTGAACGGCATGATTTTCTTGAAAGTAAGGGATATGGCTTAAGCTAAGAAGGAACATCTGTAAAAATGTAAGGAAGTATTATTTTGCAGATGGTACTTATTGTGGTTAGGATGTTAGGGTCAGAAATAATAAGTGAATTTAAAATGGGGTGACTTATCTGGAATGCAGTAACGCGTATGTGAATCGGTTGGGTTTGGGAATATCTCAGTGATACTTGAAGCGGCAAGATGATGTCTGTTTCCCTACTTCCCATAATGGGACTGGTAGGATTTCTTTGCAAGGAACCTGTCTCTCCCTTTAAAACAGAATTTTTATTTAGTTTCTACCAGTAAATACCACTTCAGAAATATTTTATGCTTTGAGGTAAGTTCCATTCTCAGTGAAATAGAGTATAGAAGAGACTACGGAAGTGGAACTACTACGTGCTGAGAGTGGCAACGTGGGCATAGATGTGGCAGTTTCAGATCTTGTGCATGTGCATGGGACTTCAGTGCACTCAGACATTAGGAGTTCAACCTGCATTGCCTTGTCACAGTGGATTTTTCCCTATTGAATGGACTCTGTTTCTGTTTAGGTGATGTGTTTGATAAGCCAGAAGTGACCAATGTCAAGTTTCTGTTCCTGGTGGGTGGCTTCGCTGAATCCCCTTTACTCCAGCAAGCTGTCCAGAGTGCTTTTGGTTCGAGATGTCGGGTCATCATTCCTCAGGATGTGGGGCTCACTATCCTCAAAGGAGCTGTTCTTTTTGGTCTAGACCCTGCTGTCATCAAAGTGCGGCGCTCACCTCTCACTTATGGTGTGGGTGTGCTCAATCGGTTTGTGGAAGGGAAGCATCCACCTGAGAAGCTTCTAATCAAAGATGGCACACGCTGGTGCACTGATGTCTTTGACAAATTTATCTCAGCCGACCAATCTGTAGCCCTTGGAGAAACTGTGACACGCAGTTACACACCTGCCAAACCTTCTCAGTTAGTAATAGTGATCAATATCTATAGCTCAGAACAAGATAATGTCAGCTTCATCACCGAATCCGGAGTGAAAAAGTGTGGCACCCTTCGCTTGGATCTCACAGGAACTGATGCTTTAGTGCCAAATCGGCGGGAGATCAAAACACTTATGCAGTTTGGGGACACTGAAATCAAAGCCATGGCTATTGATGTTGCCACCTCTAAGAGTGTCAAAGTTGGTATTGATTTCTTAAACTATTAACAGCCCATTTTCCCCACCGCAGCCTGTTTGTGAGACTGATCTTCTACTGTTCCATTTTTTGACTTTCATGTATCACGTAATCAACTTGAATTTCAGCAGGCTATATGAGAACAGCTGGTAAGGTGGGGTATGTCATGTTTGTGCCCTTTGAGGACCAAAGACTGGATTTTGAAAGATGCTTAAAAAGTTTGGGAAGCAAAAGTTCCAGAGGTAGTAAAAGTTCCCAAGTTACTCAAGCATGCTTAAAGATCTAGCTTTATTAAATAAATACTGATTATTGTTAAGTCCTGAAGATTAGTTAAAAAGATCTAAAATTGTAATCTTTTTGCCTTGTTCTTGTTCTTCTTCCTCTTCTTCCCAAGAAAACCCCACTAACCACGTTGGTGGTTGTAGGGGCTGTATCTGTGTGGGATATCTGTTTAAACAGCACCATCCTCTGGCAATGGGAACAAATTAGTAAAAGTATTTTGTTCTTTTGATTTTGCCCTGTGCTTTCAAAATTTTAAGTGCTGAAAATCAATGACTTAAAGAAATGGGAACTGAGTTTCTTAAATTCTGAGATCCCCTTGAAAAGAAAATCCTTAGAAATCCTTAAAATTAGATTTAGGAAGTACATATATATATATATATATATATAGTTTAGGAGCCTAATATTGATTGCTCCAGTTTGAAAACAAGGCCTTTATTGTCAAAGCTCTCAGAACTAGCTGTTGGATTAAATAGGTAGCATTACCCTCACTATACTTTGGAAAACTACTAAGAACAAAGCTATTTCTCTTTTTGGGTCTTCTAATAAACTTATTTTTATTAGTCTTCATCTGAAATCTTAGAATCACAGAATAGTTGAGGTTGGAGGCAACATCCGGTCCAACCTCTCAGCTCTAAGCAGTGTCAGCTAGAGCAGGATCCTCTGTCCAGTTTTGAATATCTCCAAAGATGGAGATGCATAAACTTCTCTGGGAAACCTGTTCCAGTATTTGACAACCCTCACTGAAAAAAAGGTTTTTTCTTACGTTTAAAAGGGATTTCCTGAGTTTCAATTTGACCATTGCCTCTTGTTCCTTCACTGGATACCTCTGAGACATCTGGCTCAATCTTCTTTACTGTCTTCTATCAGGCACTCATACACATTCCTAGCATCCCCTGAGCCTTCTCGAGTCTAAACAGTCTCAGCTCTCTCACTCTCCTCACATGACAGATATTCCAATCCCTTAATCATCTTTATGACCCTTTGCTGGATTCGGTTCTGTATGTCCGTGTCTCTCTTGTACTGAGAAGCACACAACTGGACCCAGCACTCTAGATGTGTCTCACAAGGGCTGAATAAAGGCGAATAATCACTTTCCTTGACCGCCTTGACAACATTCTTCCTAATGCACCCCAGGAGGCTGTCAGCATTCCTTCTTGCAAGGGCAAATTGCTGGATCACGCTTAACTTTGTGTCTGCCAAGACCTCAAGGTCTTTTTCTGCCAAGCTTCTTCCAAGGCAGTTGGCCTGCAGCGTATAGTGGTGCATCGGGCTATTCCCCCCCAGGTTCAGGACTTTGTGCTTCCCATTGTTGAACTCTATGAGGTTCCTGTCTGCACATTTCTCCAGCCTTGTCAAGGTCTCTCTGACCCATCTGGTTTATCAAGGACTTCTCCAAGTGATTATATTTCTTCTCTTGTTAATCCCTGTGTTAAGATTTGGAAGTACAATTAGATGATGGCTGTCCAGGAAGATTTAAACAACTTAAAAGAGAGAAAATGACCAGATCAAAAGCACTGTATTATATTTTGAGTAGCAAACATTTTAATTCAGGAAAATACATTTCTGGGTTGAGTTGAATGGCCAGTAAAGTGGAAGGCAGAAGCCGAGAGAATGAAACTACAATTAGCATTAAATAAAGCATTCCTATCATACATGGCTATGAGCACACAACTCTAACGCAGGTTAAATACAATGATGGTCACAGTAACATTTTGTTTTCCAAATAATAACTTTCTGGAAATGTTTTCTTGAGCACGTTCACCTCGAAAATTTCTTCTGTGACTGGAACGGTTTTTATTTTGCAAAATTCTACAGGTTGTTAACTTCTGAAACCTGCAATCTATATCTGCCGTGAACTGACAGCTTCAGATTCAAATCCAAATCCCACTCCAAATTGGCAGACTGATACTAACCTTAGAATCACCCTAAAACGCTGACACTTTCAGACCTTTTATACAGAGCTGCCTGATTACCTGCTGGAATTCATTACATTTTTGAAACTTTTCAGTGTGAATTGTTAAACCAAACCTTCATTTCTAGTGAGTTGGGCATGAGTTAAATCCATTACTGACACTTTGGGAAATGAAAGCTTTATCAATTATTTCACTAATTTATGTTCCAATCCTGCACTTAAGCTTTCTGTGTTTAGCCTGGAGTTTTTCCACAGTAAAGAGCTGCAGAACTTGTCTGCTGCATTTTGCATTGAGTTTTCTGTGTCTTCTGCAGAATTCCCTAGTTGAATGTGAAATCCATTCTGCATTCAGCTTTAAAAAAAAAAAAAAAAAAAAAAAAGACTATGGAGAATGCTAGTCACAGTATCCGGCTGGATACTTTCTATAATTACAAAGTGTGCTTGCTAGCATTCAGTTTCCTGCTGCCTGCAAAATGCTTTAAAAGCTAAGTACTGGGATTTTTTTGTGTGTTGCTTTCCATGGTTTACAAACAAGAGAAACTTTAAGATGAGTTATGAACAATATAATTTTATGTATATACAATATTTAAATATTGTACAGACTCTTTCTTTCTACAGTGCTATTTTCTTGTATAAAAATGCTCCTTGCCTCTGTTGATTTCATTCAGCTGTTAATTTTAAATAACATAGTTTCTCAATCAGCTTCTGTAATTATAGGCCTTTAAAGATGGTAAGATATGAAATGTAAAATGCTGATCTTATAATAATAGGAAAGAAATGTTGGTGTGTCAGAGAATACAACATTCTTCCTGCAATGCAAGTCATACCAGTTAAGCACATCACACAGATGCACTAGTATGTTGCTGGGATTTTAATTTCTTTGTTTCAGATGGTGGCCATTCCATCTCCAGCAGTTCATCATAATAATGGATAAATCCTCCTGTAAAACCAAGTTTAAAATTAGATTGTATGATCTGGTTATACAGCTTTCTTCACTAGGTTTTGGGGTTTTATTAAGGATCTTCTCTAGTTTTAAAGAAAAAAAAAAGGAAACACAAAACTACCTTCCAAAGACAGGCAACGCTCATTTATTGTAGCTGTAGGTAAGACCTAGTCTCTGTCTACCAGTACCACCTACCAAAAGACAAAATTCTTAACGAAAAGTAGGCTTCAGTGTCTGCATCCTATGTTAAACTGACTTGGTCCAGTTCTGCACAGATTTGTTTCTGGTGGCCTTAGGCTAACACAGAATTTGGTCTAATAAATGGCTGCAGCCACCCCCTCTCTCCGCTGAAGAGCAAGCGAACTGCAAGATCAGGTGGCCCGTGAGTTTTGTGCTGTTTTCAGTCTGTCTGCAGGGAATGCTAAGGGCAGTTTCTGGTTCTGAAGCATAGTTTCCTGCACGGTAGCTATTCTCTGCCCTTTCTTATTCACCTTTTGTAAGACTCCATATGGATCCAAGCAGGGGTTTGTCGCTGAAATGACTTTACTGTAACGGTAAAATGTGGTTTGCATATTTTTGCACTTCCTCATTCAGGCTGCTGAGAGCACTATCAAGCTTATCTTTGCAGAGCACTGAACTACTGAACAAAATCCCAGCTGTCCTTGTTGTCCTCTTTAAATCTAAGAATGGAAAATTAGCTTGTGTCTCTAAGGAATTAGAATTGTAAGTAGAATATTATGCTGTGGTCTGTAGTCTATAACCTGGTTAAACAACTTTACATTGTAAGTGGCATGTGGATGCCCATTTTGATAAAGGATATTAGGCTGTAAAATTAATACGAAATTTATTAGGAAATGAGTAATTTTTAGAATAGTAGTTCTGATACTTTTGCAGGAGAGTGCCTGCAGAGTATTTTTTTGTTAGGGGTTTCAGATGACATTGTGCAACTTGCTGTAGAAAAGACAAGGCCTGCTCTCCTTAGGGAAAGCAGAATGCCTTGGCAGAAGTTTTGCTCTAAGCAGCAACTTGCAAGTTTGGGTCCACGTTACTTAACTCTAGGCTGAAAGTTAGCAGCTAATTGTGATAGAATGATGAATTGTGCTAGAATATGATAAATGTGCAGTGATGGTTAGGACAGTTTCCATTGGTATGAATATACCAGTATTTATATACAGGAGTTTTAATGCATTATTATGAGAAGGCTAATTATATATTGCAGAGATTTAATCGCCAAGATAAGCTGCATATTTATGATATGAAGTGGCTTAATGCAGATGAATAGTATAAAAGTTGTTGGGCGTAATGTCACAGTACTCACCTGCTTGAAATATTCTTAAACTATATTATAAAACCAACCATTGTGGTCTTGTTCACCTCTGTGCAAGATAAATTCAGATTTCACTGATGTTTGGAGCTGTTCACAACTGTCTGGATTGTATCTTGAGTGTTCTTGTGTCTTCAACCATGTCAAATAAAATACTATAAAACTAATTTTTGGGCTTGGGTGTTACTATTTTTATGAAGATGACTATAAAAAGAAATCAAATTTATTTTGAATGAAAGGCCAAGTGCTTATACTTGTATTTGGATACTCCTTCATTCGCATAACTGAGCAAAAGTGACATCAACCATATGTGCTCCTTATCAGATTTCTTCAACCTTTTAGATGTGTGGACACCTAGAGTCTTTGCCAAGGGCTTGCAGCACACACAACTCTTCGGCAAGAGGCTGCTACATTTTTATTTCACTTATGTACTTCTAGGGGGGCCTCCGTATGTGCCCAAGGTAGAAGTCCACTTCTGGGGATTACTCTACATCCACTAAAGTTGGTGTAGCTGTGAGTAGGCTGAGTAGGGCATCTGTTGGAGTTTAAGACAGAAAGACTTTGGGCAACACCAAAAGCAGATTTG